GAAGGGAATGGAATTAATATGAGAAAATGAAAAAAAGGAAACAAAGTCTTTGTAAATAGGGAGGGATGGAGGGGTTGAAGGGAGGGCAGGGCAAGAGGGAAAAAGAACCAAGACAGATTATGTAAAGGTGCAAATTTCCAATGATGAATGTCATTATATTGTATACCTAAAATGTCATTATACTGTATACCAACAAAAGGATATACACTTAAAAAAAAAGAAATCAACCAATAACAAATGCTAGCAGAACTGTAGAGAAAAAGGAACCCTTCTCCACTGTTGGTGGGAGTGTAGATTTGTACAACCACTGTGGAAATCAATGTGGAGATTTCTGAAAAAACTAAAACTAGAGGTTCCATTTGACCCAGTTATTCCCCTTGTTGGTATCCTCTGAAGAATTAAAAGCATCATACCACAGCAATATATGCACACTCTTGTTTATAGCAGCACAATTTGTAACAGCTAAATCTTGCAAACTGCCCAAATCCCCATCAACCAACGAATGGATCAAGGGGTGGGTTTTTTCACACAATAGAGTACTACTCTGCCATAAAGAAGGATGAGCTTCAGATATTTATAGCTAAATGGATAAACCTTGAGATCATACTCTTAAGTGAGGGCCAGGGATTTAGCTCAGTGGTTCTGCCACCTGCTCTGCAAATGCAAGGACCAGAGTTCGATCCCCGGTACCAAAAACAAAACAAAACAAAACCAAAAAAAAAATCGCACACACATGTTTAAATACCACATTATTTCTCTGGTGTGAGAAATTGAAAGTGAAAATAAGGACTAAAATGTATAATAGATATTGAGAAATGGGAAGAAAATGTTCAAATGGGAAAGGGAACAAGGGAGGGGGAGGAAGAAAAGAAGAGACAAGAAAAAAGTGAAAATAGAAGGAAAAAATGGAATCAAAGCTTTTGTACATGGCGGGAGGGGGCTTGACGGGAGGGGGATGGGAAAAAAGAGCCGGGATGTATCATACACAGGTACAAATTCCCTATCATGAGTGTTATCATTATGTATGCCTAAAATCCACCAACAAATGTTTTGTTAAAAAAATAACATTAGAAACTGAGGTGCAGCTCAATCGCAGAGCACCTGCCTAGCATGTGCAAGAACCCAGCACCACAAAACAATAAATTAAACAAAAATAAATTATTTTCAATGAGGCAGATTCCCGGAATAACACCCTTTCCTTCAACCTTTAATCTTCCTACTCTTCTTATTATTTTTGTTTTATCTAGGTCACCTTCCTCTTCTGGTCCAACAAGATGCTTATGCATTATACAAAAGAAATATAATGTGGTCTATCAATTTGTTTATCACCAAGACCTTAATTTTTTAACAAGATAGGTAGGAAAAAGCTTAAAAAATGGATGTTGTCCACTCCTAAGCATTTTTCCTTGATTATATTTCTTTTAATTCTTTATTATAGCCTGTTTGTTTCCTTCCCTGTAAAATTGAAGTTAACATGTAAAGGGCTTTAGATATGAGAGCACTAAGGATCATTTCTAAAGTAAGCAAAATTGTTAGTATGAACACAATACCTGGTAACACCGCTCAGATTTCCAGTAGATTATCAAGTCTGTTCCCGGGAGTTCATTATGGATGAGTAGCAAAGATTGATCCATCTTTAACTCCATATGCTTTCTATTGTCTAAATCTGATAAGGATTAGAACATAAGTTTTAAAAAAAAAAAAGTCACGTGGACCAGGGATTTAGCTCAGCGGCACAGCACCTGCCTGGCAAGCACGTTCGATCCCCGGTACCAAAAATAAAATGAAATAAAATTAAATTAAATTACAATTTAAAAGTCACCTGAATAAGAGACAAAGTACACCAGTAGTGCTTCTCATATACCTGCACAATGGAATTATGGGGTCATTAATACATTACTTTCTGTACATTTGCATGCAAGCACACACCCATGCGCGTACATACACACACGTGCACGCGCACACAGGCATCCTTCTACACAAATGTCTCTATTACAAACAAGGATTCTGTCAACACCATTCATGACCAGTGTATAAAAGGACTATGTACATTCATCAGGTGCTAAGATATGCTACGCTCTGAATTATAGTTTCCACTCAATAGTGACAACCTCATGAACTGTATATTTAGTCGATTTTTCCAGTGCTGGGGATTGAAACCAGGGCCTTCATACTGAGCTACATTCCCAGTCCTTTCTTTATCTTGAAACAAAGTCTAAGTCACTAAGTTGCCTAGACTGGGCTTGAACTTAAGATCCTTCTGCCTCAGCCTTCCACAGTCCTGGAATTGTAGATATGCACTACCCACTTCTGACATACTTTGTCCATTTTACAGATGAAAACTCACAAAAGTTAGATAATGTCCTTGACCCAGACTTTCATACCACATCAACAGGATCAGAGCTCAGCCTGGGCTGTCAGAAACGCAGAACTCCAGTCCATCTAGTTACAGTGTATGAGTTAGCAGGATCTTTGGGTGATATGCGCAAAGTCTGAGGAGTCCTATTTTCCAACACTTTGGTTTGTACTTCTGAATGTTCTTTTAGCTTTTGTGGCACATTTGAAACAGGAAAGGAAGAAGTTACAGGTCTCAGTTTGAAGGGCACAGAGATCCACTGCTCTGGTATTCAATCAACCATACAGGTCACCTGTTTGCTACATGATATTCTTAGGATGGCATAATGCACATTCAGGACATGGGGTGGGGCTCAGTGGTAGAGTACTTACCTAGCACTATGTGAGGACTTGGGTTCTATCCCCAGCATAGATATACACACTAAAGATGTGGATTTTAAAATTATGTTTTGGCAATTTGGTAGAAAAACAAAATGAACTAATACTGTCTGGAGTTAAAGAGTGGCTCATTTAAACCAACTGGCCATTCTATAGTGATCTTATATATAAGAGAAAATAATTTATCCACCAGCTTTTAGGCAAGAGAAAAAAAGTGAAACTACTAACAATTAAAAAGATATGGGGCCAGGGATTTAGCTCAATGGTTCCGCCGCCTGCCTTGCAAGTGCAAGGACCTAAGTTCGATCCCTGGTATCCCCCAAAAAAGAAAAAAAACCATGTCATATGCCAGGCACTACATTAAGATCTTTAGGGCTGGGGATTTAGCTCAGTGGTTCCACCACCTGCCTCAAAAGCACAAGGACCTAAGTTCGATCCCTGGTACCACCCCACCCAAAAAAAGAAATGAATTTTGTCTGCTTTACTTTGTAATTTATGAACGCTCCCCATTAATTCATCTCAACAGTTAATTCAGAAATTCTTCACTTAACCAGGTTAAATCTCTTATTTTTAAGTTTACTTTCATTTACCTTTTTCTAGCTCAGTGAAGACAAAACATACAATATATAACTCAATCTACAGATTTTTATTCTCTAGATTAATGAAAGTTCACCCATCATTTTTTGTTCTTTGGTGTCCTTCTAGACAGCTTTCAGAGAAAGAGGTAGAGATCAGAGAGGGTTAAATGTGCAGACTCCAAGTTAGATCAACTTAACTCCGAATCCGGCCCTGCCTCAGGTTCCTCATTAATTAATTAGGGGTCGCCAGATGTATAATTCATAAGATTTTGGGGAAGACTAAACTTGATAATATGTGTAGTGCTCAATAAATGACCATTAAATGATCCATGGACAGAACATTTAGAGCTTCTTTAGGATAGGCGCATCCCAGTTAAATATTGTTAAAAGTTGTTTTTTCTGTTTTCATGTAACCTTATTTCTAGTATCTCCCTATTTCCTATTTCTTTATAAGAAATGATGTATATATCTAAAATGAATGTGTTGTTTTCACATAGTTCCATATTGAAATGAAAGTGAACTGGTATTTCAGAAATAACCTTTAACCAAAATTAGGCTTTTAACAGCTTCTCATATGCATTATGAAACTATTCTCCAATTTGGTGGTGCTGATTTGTAAGATCAACTCTAGTGACTCTCAGAGCCTGGGAGACTCCCAGGCAATACAAATAACTGTACTCTTACTATGTGCCAAGTCCCAGCAGACCCCTAGGAAATAGCTCTTGGTGTCTTTCTTTTTTTTCTGAGGAGGGGGGCCTCACTACATTGCCCAGGCTGGGCTCAAACTCCTGGGCTCAAGTGATCCATCTGCCTCAGCCTCCTGAGTAGCTGCGACTATACACACATACCATTAAGACCGGCATATCTCCATTTTTAGATGAGGAATCTGAGGTCTAGAGAGATCGATCAACTTACCTAAGGTCACCAACCTTCACAGCCAGGATTTAAGGCCAGGTCAGTCTAAGCATGCACCTGCCCTCTAGGTTACTAGTCTCTAGAGATGAAGCTTATCTGTTCCCTAAGAGCTAGTTCAGAATTAGCCTTTTAATTTTTTTTTCACTTTTTAGGCTGGTGAATAGAAAACAGCGCCTTGAATAATGAGCAAATTTAAACGTGTTTTCCAAACATTCAACATCAGTATTATTTATTCTCCTCCCACAAGATTCTGATTGGGAAGTGGCAGTTTACACTTCACACAGATACCAAAGCCCCTTTTATCCTGGTACAGAATAGCAAGGTGGAGGAGAAGGAAGAGGTGGGCGGCCCGTTCCCAAGGGGCAGACTCTCCCCAAACACTGCTCAAAGTGTCTGTCACTTTGCAGATCCCTCAATCCCAAGTCAAAAACCAATTCGCTGGGGAGGGGCTTGCAGAAGTGGTCCTTTAGAGTCCTGGGGAACCCCACTCAAGGGTCGAGAGCAGACAGACACACAGACTGATGGAGGCACTGGAAGTCGTTGTTACTATTTCCCCTCATGAGTTCGTGGTTGTACTCAGCGTTTCTCCCGTCCCACAGCACACCAGAATCCACTCAGGGCGAAGATGCCCTCCCAGGCCTCAGGTCTGATTCCGGACCCCAGCGCCAGACCGGTGAGGCAGCGCCTCAGCTCGGAAGTCCGCCCGCGGGGCTCTGGCGGGCGGCGCGGCAGGGCTCCAGCACACTTCCTCTTCAGTCCCGAGGTGCAGGAGGCTCGGAACGCCAAGCAGAGCGCTTTCCGCAGGGCGAGCCACTCGCGACCGCAACGCCCCCGCGCCCGCAAAGCCCGCTCTCACCTGGCTGCGGGGAGCCGCCGGGGGCCCGCAGCGTGCCGCCCAGCACCACAGCGGCCAGCAGCAGCACGGCCGGAGATGCCCCGCTCATTCCTCCGGGGAGCCTAAGGGGCGCGCCTCCGCCCGCCCCCTCTCCGCGTTCCACAGCAGCTCCAGTTGTCAACTCCCGTTGTCAGCTCCCATCCTGCCCAGCGGTGGGGCGGAGAGAGGTGCTGGAGGCGGGGCTGGAGAATCAGAGTGGGCGGGGAAAGGGGAGGAGAGGTAGGGTGTGGAGAGGGGCGGGGGTGAGGGGGAAGGGGATCCGGGTGGAGGTAGATGGGGGGCGAGAGGCGGGGACAGAGGGGGCTGGGGAATCGGGGTGGGCGGGCGAGGGCTGGGTCGGGCCTACCGGCGCAGAGTAGCTCAGCTATCCTGCGTTTGCTGAGCCTGCGCAGATCCCTGGGGCTTTATCCCCAGCACCTGAAAGAGTTGGGGAGAAAGGCAAAAATTTCCGCCCTTTGCACAGTCTCTGCTGTTCAGAAGAGAAACAGTAGAAGAAACACTGATTGCAGGCCAGGAAACTTTGCTCTTTCACTGAGCAACACGGTCTGCTAAATTCCTGCGTCCACCTATTCATTGGTACACATGAGTATTAGAGTCCTCTTTCCCCTATCCTCAGGAAATACTATGGTAAATGAGACTGTAGAGTCCCTGCTCCCCAGGGGTTTACTATACAGAGGCAGAGAGCTATTGCCAATCTCTGATGAAGTTAAAAGGCCCCCAGAAACACAATAATACTTAAAGCTCAGTTGTGTGTAACTGCAAAATTGTATGTGTATATATATATATACATATAGTACCGGGAATTGAACTCAGGACCTTGCTCTTGACAGGCAGGCACGAGTGCCGCTGAGCTACATCCCCTGCAATCTAAGTATTATAGACAGCTAAGTTAGATAGAAATTAATATGTAGTCAAAGAAGGAATCAGGCCCTTAAGGGAGTCAGCACGTAAGAGGAGACACACAAAGACTGGCTGGAGGGGAATCTGAAGAGAGTCAGGGCTCAAGATGGAGATGCAATACCCAGGCCTACAGGCCTCCCCAAAGATAAACAGCAATTTGAGATTATACTGCAATTAGAATCACCCAGTCCAGTGAACCCAGATAGGCAGCAGACACCTAGGTAGATGATCAGAACATCTGTACCCATCTCTTTCCAGGAATGCCTTTGTTATTTACATATACCTTTGCTCTGTGCCTCATTTCTCTATTGGATCAATGCCAGCTAAGTGACTATATTTATAACCCTATAGGTTAATTGTAGTTTGACCCATGTTGTGATTTTGCTGTATGAAAGCCTCAGTGGCCACCCACTCAAAATCCCTCCTGGAAATTCAAGTGCTATTCTTTTTTCCCATAAAACTCTCCTAACCTCCTCCTTTAGTTCACAACTTCTTTCAATGTTGTAAGACCACAGAACTTGTTACATCTAACATCTAATGGGCTGGGAATTGCTGCAACCTGCATAGCATAGGGTCTGAAGCCAGGGAGAGTGGTAGGAGATGAAGAAAAAATGACAGAGACCACAATTATTCTTTAAGTTTGGGACCAGGTGGCACCATAGTTTGTGGGGAGTTAATGACCAGCTGGAGCACCACACACTCTTTATTTATAGTGGAAGGCAAACAGGAAGAGAAGGCGGGGCAAAGAGTGCTCCGTGGCCTATGTGGCCTAGACAGAACGTAGCATGATTGTTTTGTGATTCCGGCATTCCCAGAAAGGGAGCAGAGAAGGATATACAATGTAACTGTCTCTTGGGCTGTGCTATCCAGGGTCTACAGTATGAGTCAAGGGGAGTAGGGAGGAGAAAAGGAGCAGGGAGGAGACAAAGGGCCATCTTCAGGCTTGGCCCACGGCATCTACCCCTTTTCTTGTTTGTAATGTGAGGTGATTCCAAAGTTGTCCCAAAGCGAGGTGAAGCAGTTGTTGCTAGAACATTCTGCAGCAGACTAGAAACAAGACAATCAGTATAATCAAGGCAATTAAGAGTGCAAGCACAACCACAGTGTGCCTGCCAATATTGAAAGGATTGAACCCATCGAGGAGGAACAGCACTGCTTGAGCAGCTTCATCTGGGGTAAGTCTCTTGACCTCTTCATGTTGTATGTCTAGAATTTTTTTTGTAAATTTTGTAAATCTACACTGAAGTTGGCATGGTGGAAGATACCCATGAGATAAGCAGCAACCTGCTCCAGGACCATCATGTCTCATTATATTTTAGAGCTGTAACACAAACGTGTTTAAATTAAGCATGGCAGTGAAGCCCTTGATGGAATTGCAGGGCTTTAACTTGTGTTCCTATCTCGAGAACTGCTGCCTCAAGTGCTTCAAGTTGTATCTGAATCTTGGAGTCAATGTCCTCCTGAGTTTCTAAGGCATAGGAGGTATTTTTTGCCAGTTGGTTGACAAAATGAGTTGTCTGGATGGTTTTGGCCAAAGCCATAGGGGCAATCACGATGGAGGCAAGAAGAGTGTCCAGAGACACAATACCCAGGATGATGAGTCCAACCGTCCACTGGGGATGGCTCAGTTGATTTTCTATCTCTTTTAGTACTTGGAGCCCTTGGTCATTATACTGTCGTGGCAAATCAGGAGTCAAAATGACCTTTCAGAGACCAGGAGAGTTGGGTAAAATAAGAAAAAGTTTATTGGCAGGCAATGGCCAGTCTTAGGAAACAGGTCCTTATAGACTGACCACGAGTTAAGAAAGTTTCTCCTGGGCCGGGAATTTAGCTCAGTAGTTCTGCTGCCTGCCTCAAAAGTGCAGGGTCCCAAGTTCATTCCCCGGTACCAAAAAAAAAAAAGTTTCTCCTTTATATACTGTTTACAGAGTAAAATGTCCAAGTTGCAGTTACACAGCTTTGTGGCAAAACAGCAAGGGACCTTTCCATAGCTTCAAGGTTGAGGGCTTACATAAACAATTTCAAGGCTGTTCTCTTATCTCTCTGGGAACAGGCTGCCCCATCTAAGGGGAAGGGCTCACCTAGTGTTTTTTAAAACAGGGACAAGTTGACACAGAGATGGGGCCCACAAAGCACAAAGACAACATATTTTTGCTATATTGTTATTTTAAGCTGGCATACAGTTCATGGACAGATGTGCTATAGTAATTATTCACCAAGTTATGTTTGGCAGCTCCTTCCACTTCAATACCAGGGTCCAGAAAGATTAGTGGGAATCAGGACAAAAGAGGCATGATTCAACACAATAATGGGCAGTGTATTGACAAGAGTAGCACAGTTGGTACAGGTAACATGAAAAGTACCATCAGTGTTGTTGGTAATATTCCCTTTTTTTTTTGGTACAGGGGATTGAACTTGTGACCTTGCGCTTGCAAGGCAGGCGCCAGAACCATTGAGCTAAATCCCCAGCCCAGTGTTGTTGGTAATATTTAATGGACCCACTAAGGAAAACATAGGATTCTTGTGCAAAAGTATGTGCCCAATGACTGGCAGCTCCCACAGGACTCAGGTTCTTAAAGCTATACCTGGATTGCATTATTTTATCAGTACATGCAGCAAGTCTCCACAGGCCAGGCTGTCTAAAATGATGATTAATTTCAAGAGAAGTAACTGGAAATAATCCAGTGTAATTTACCAGTACATGAGAGCGGTCCAAAAATTCCACAGGATGTATATGAGTCAGATTGATATGGGAGGTACAATAGTCAACCCATGGCACTGTGCCTTTGAGTGGAACAGTGGCCTTTCATTTGTGGCAGGGATGGGTAGAACAAGATCTATTAGATGGACTTATGTTGTCCAACTTAAAAGTTTTGTAAAGAAGGATTTTATCCCTTTCTAGGCCAGATTCATTCTTCACAATGGTAGACTTTTCTATAGTCCAAAGGGGCAAGCAGAACTGACCAGGCCCTAGATACAGGAAGTGATGCCACTATGCCCACATATTTATAGGTGGCGTGACTGGGACAAATATGTCCACCTGGCTGTCCCCCTAATAGGGCAGACACATTGGTGAATATGGGAGTAGGAGCTGGCATTTCCCAGGGTACAACATGAACCAACGGGGGGTCAGGAAAATAAGTCCAATACTGTTTGGCATCTGTAACTCCTACCTGAATGGAAACCAAGGACATCATAGCAAGGAATAAGGTGCCAGGACCTGAGGGACCTCCCTTATCCTTTACTATTTGTTGCACATCTTCTGTTAATTTCTTGACCTGACCCCATGTGGGATTAGTCACTGCTCATGTTTGGTGTGATGGAAGAGCTCGATGCAGCATCTTCATCTGGGGTGACAACATCAGCTTTATGAATGGTGGAATCAGCTGCTTCTCCCAGTTTGATGTCATCACACGGCTGTACCAGTCGAGTTGGCACCCAGAGAGGGTGATCAGCAACTTCTGGAAAGATACAAATGAAATTATCTTCCCCACATAAGCACAGGACTTGGTCCATACCACTGACCAGTGGCTGGGTCCTTCCAGTGAGCAAATTTATGCTTTGATTGTGACTAGAAACAAAGTGACACTCTGCTGCCATAAGGACTTGTTCATTGATATTTTAAAATTTAAGGTATATAATGCAAAATTTATTATAGTAGAGGGTGTAGGCTTATAAGAACTAGGGAGTACTCCCCATTTTTGTTTGTGTAACATAGTTTTAAGGGTGAGATTGGCACATTCAATGATTGCTTGACCCTGAGGATTATAAGGAATACCTGTAGAGAGGGAAATACAAAAGGTTGTATAAAAGTGTTTGAAAGGAGCACAGTGTAAGCAGGACCATTATCAGTTTTGATAGCCCTTGGACATCCAAGCACCTGAAAGGCACAAAGACAGTGATCAATAACATGTTGGGCAGCCTTGCCTGGTTGAGCGGAAGTGAAGATCATGGAGGAATAGGTGTCAACAGAAACATGAACATATCTGAGGCGACCAAACTCAGCCACATGGGTCACATCCATCTGCCAGAGGTCACAAGGAACAGGCCTCTAGGATTGACACCCTGGATGGGTGACAGAATATGAAGCATGCAGGTGGAACAGGCACAAACAATGCCGCGCACCTGTTCTTGAGAAATATGAAACTGTTTGCATAGGGTGGAAGCGGTTTGGTGAAGAACAGAATGTGAGGCAGTGGCCTGTTGAAGGGCAAGCAGAAGGGGCTGAAGAAGGAAAGGAGCAATAAGATTATCAACAGTGTCATTTCCCTGACACATTGGCCCAGGGAGGGGAGAATATGCACAAATGTATGAGATGAGGGTAAATGCGGCGTCTCACACAGTCTCTCAGACGGTAAAAAAGCTGTAAGAGAACTTTGCTGGTAGTGGAGGAAAGGGTAGCAGTTTCTATTTTTGGACTATGCCCACTACTTAGGCACTGTCTGAGTACAAATTAAAAGTGACAAAAGCAAAATCTTCAAGCACCCAAATGACAGCCTATAATTTGGCATGGTGAGCAGATGTAAAGCCAGTATCTTGAGATCTGTTCTCACTCAAGGAATGATAGTCCACAAATCCATTAGAGGAGTCATCTGTGAAAACAGTTGTTGCCTTCCAAAGGCAACAACTGGATGACCTTAGAGAAAATGAAAGAAGTAAGGTTTGCAAATTATAAAATTTTGTCTGAAGGCAGATGATTGTCAATCTGTCCAGGGAAGAAGGCTAAGGCAATCTGCCAATCTTTGGAAAACTGCCAAAGCCATCACTATTGTTGTAGGGAATAAGGTATAATGAGTACATGAGGTTCCCTCACCAGCAACTGAAGACAGCATCATCATCCATGGCCTATCACAGCAGCCACTAAAGAGGGATAAGGGGTAAGAGGGCAGGGTGGTGAGTTAGGAAGATGGATCCACTCAAGAACCCCCTGAGGCTGCCACAGGGCTCCCATTGGCATATGTGGAGTGGACAAGGTCACCAACCATACAGGCTGTTCAGGGACAACACAAGTGAGGGCTATCTGTTAAATACCCTTTTCTACCTTATGAAAGGCCTCACGAGCCAAAGGGGAGGTGAGGCAAGGTGGGTGAAGGGTCTCCTTTGAAGATTTTAAATAATGGTTGCAAGTCTGCAGTCTTTAAAGATAATGACAGTCAAAGCAAGTTGATGTCTCCCAGGAGCTTTTGAAAAAAATTAAGTGTAGAAAGATGATTAGTGCGAATCTGGATGAGTTGAGGTCTTACCTGAGTATTTTCTAGAATATGTCTCAAATAAGAAAAAGTCTGAAAAAAAAAGACTGTGGTTTTTGGATTTTATCCAGGGCTATCACCAACCTCAAAATGGAAAGACCCACCTGCAAGGCAGAGTAAAGTTCCTGGAGCACAGGTAGAGAGGCGTGGACTAGAAGAATGTCATCCATATATTGAATAATATAAGCCTGAGGGAATTGTATCCTCAGAAGTTGTATGGCCTGATCCACATATTCCTAACAAAAAGTGGGACTGTTGGTCATGCCTTGAGGTAGGCACTTCCACTGAAATCTTCTAGTGGGGCCTTGATTATTGGGTGAAGAAAGACTAAAGGCAAAATGTTTATAATCAGAAGGAAAAAGAAGTATGGTAAAAAACAAAACAAAACAGTCCTTTAAGGCCATTCCAATAAATGAAAGGACAAAGGAATCATGGAAGGACTTGGAAGTCTGGGCTGCAGTGCCCCATAGGCTCCATGGTCTTATTGATTGAGTGGAGATCCTGTAGGAGGGGCCATGTTTCTAATTTTTTCTTTATCTCAAAAATTGGAGTATTCCAAGGACCAGTGGAGGGTTCTAGATGACCTCCTCATAATTGTTCCTCTATAAGCTAGTATGCAGCTAGGAGTTTCTCCTGTGGTAAAGGCTACTGGTCAACCCAGACTGGATCATCTGACAGCCATGTAATGGGTTTGGCCATCAGCCAGGACAGAACTCACCCGTGGCCCTAGGAAAAATGTGAGTAGCCCAAACTGTGATAGTCCAGTTTTTGACAGGGTATGACAGACTCTTTTCTTCCCTGACCATGACATCCCAAGCCCATGTGGGGATTAAATCCCTGATTCAACATTTGTGAAGACACAAAAGAGTTGGGACTCACCAGCAGGGCTCCCATAGCACTTAAGACATCCTGACTCTACAAATGTA